GGTGACCAGAGCATCCCGTGTAACCTACTAAACCTACTATGTCACAGTCTTTCTCAGCTCAGTCAATGTCAACACTTTCTTTCTTGCTGTTTGGTCAAAACTCTAGATACATCCTTAACTCCTTTCTTTCTCTCATACCCCAAATCATTCAGTTAAGAAATCACATTGTTTCTACCTTTAATAAAGATTCAGAACACTTCTTTCTATAGTCCACTGCTATCCCTCTGGTCTCAGTAACCATCTCTGATCTAGATTATCACAATCTCCTAACTGGTCTTCCAACATGTATTGTTTTTCTTTTCTTAATCCTTTACAACACAAGGGGCCAAAATATATGCTTTAAGAAGTGAGGTCTTCCATGCCATTCATGTGATTCATACCTTTTGGTGCCAACCCCCTTTTTCACAAAGTAAAAGCCCACACCTTTACAATGCTTTATACAGCTCAGTACAATGTGTCCCCTCATGCAGTCTTTATATATATATATATATAATTGTTTTCTTAAAGAAAGGAAGGGAGATGGATAGAGAGTTAGAAACATCAATGAGAAGAAACATTGATTAGCTGCCTCCTGCACACCCCCTACTGGGGATGTGCCTGCAACCAAAGTACATGCCCTTGACCAGAATCAAACCCGGGACCCTTCAGTCCACAGGCTTATGCTCTATCCACTGAGCCAAACTGGTTAGGGCCCCTCATTCACTTGTGATGCCATCTCCTATTTCTCTCCTATACAAGTACCACACACTCAAACTCAGAGGCTCCTGCAATCTACCTAGCACTCTCTACCTCAGGGCCTTTGCACTGAGTGTGACCCCAGGTTCCCTTTTCAGTTAATCTCTTCCTTTTTTTTTTTTTTTAATATGTGTCTATGTCTCAGCCACTTTCTCAATGAAAGTAGTAGTGACCACCACTTTTAACCTCTGCCCTAGACTCTTAATCATCTTCCAAGATGTATCTTGCCATAGCATTATAACATCTCAACATACTTTATTATCTATTATTTATTGGTTACTCTCAGTCTCACCAAAGAAATATTATTGCCTAATGTAGCTCCAGAACCTAGGACCATTCCTGACTCACAATGGACTCTCAATACACATTTAATAAGTGATTGAATGCGGGGGGTGAAGGAGTAAAGGGGCACCAGAGTGGTGGGCATATTCATAGTCAGTTGGCACCTACAACCTTCTGCATTGTCTCCCCCAAAAAAAGAGATGGTTTTGCAGATTTTAGTATTTTACCTGGGACTGTTGCCAGAACTAGAATTATGAGTATTATCTTCCTTTTTATACATTTTTTTAATCTAATTTGCTCAGGTAGAACAAAAGTGAATGTTTGGTTGAATCTAGTATATTTTATTCTTCTAATGACTACCTGTGATCTTGATTTAGAACAAGTGTTGAATGGTGCACAAAGGTCCCTGTGAGTTCCTGAAACAAAAGTGTAGTTTCAATAGATTTAATGACTTGTGATGTGGATATTACTGCACTTAGCACTGCCCAACCCCCCCACCCCCCCACCCCCCCAAAAAAAAAAAAAAAAAAGACCAGGATCAGGAGTAAAGAATGCTCTGGAAGGAGAGTCACTGAGGAAAGAGCTGTTTTGGTTTTTCCTTTCCCTCTGCTATGGATGCATCTGGAAATAATCTACATTACCTTGTCCCTGCTGGACCTGGAACCCATGGAAGCATGACCGTGTCTTAGAAATAGTATATAGAGACATAGAGCTCTAAATTTCAAGAGATTCTTTTATCATTTTAAAAATAATATGACTATTTTATAGTTATTTTTAACACTTAACTGTTCTTAACAATATGTTTGGAGCTTTCATGGATAGATTTGGGGTTATGATTTTAAAAAAAATATATCTAAAAAGGAATCTGAGCTTTTGTAAGCAAGCTAAGATTATAACAAACTAAATTAATAAAAGTGCAAGTGTTGCCCTGAAAATCAAAGTCTGTATCCTAACTTCAGAAAATTATCTTGCAAGGAAGCATTGTATCAAAATAGAATAGATATTCTTTCCTTTATAAAGTACCAGGGAGGAAGGTTGCATATTGATTATATTGATTACACATCTATTCAATAGGATTCTTCTCTCTCTCTCTCTCTCATTTTTGTTTGGCAGCTTGAGCTTTTTCTTTTTTATCATTTTTTTTAATCCAAGTAAGTTCTTGACAAATTAGAAAACTCTTACTTTGTATTCTTTCTATCATCAATAAGTAAATATACTTTTTTTCTTATAAACATAAAAAGAGCTTTTAGATGCATTTACAGAAAAGGTGTTTTTGTCAACTGTTGCTATGTAATAACTTAAAATAGTCAATGGTATAAGATAGTAAAGATTTATTTGTCAGATGTGCTGCAGGCTGGCTGAGGCAGCTGTATTTCATGCTAAGGTGAGTCCCTATGTCTCTCACTTTCATTTTGGGTGGCACTGTTCTTTCCATGGTAAGGTATAAGCACAAGACAATCAGTTGAAATACACAAGGTCTTTTAAGGACTAAGCTCAGAATTTTTGCTCAGTGATTTGCGCTCACATTCGATTAACCAAAACAAGTTTTATGGCAGAGACCAAAGTCAATAGCAGGAGATTACACTTCACTTTTTTTGCAGGAGGGTATTTCAAAATAATATGGTAATGGACCTGCAGACAAGTACACATTATGAATCAAGACCAATATTTTAAACCACTGCTAAATATTTTACAAAGTACCTCAAAGCATCTCACAGGTTTTACTGTATATAAGTATTCCTAAACATCTTTAGACATATTGCCAATTAGAAGGAATTTTTTTTCATGGATTTCTCTCTCACAATGTTCCTGAGCTTATTGTTTTAAATCACAAATTAATGTCTCTCACCCTTTTATTACTCAGAATGAAGGCTATACTATGCCTTTGTTTGTGGACTTGTGTTTATTTTTATTATTATTTTAAACGAATTATGACTATATATTTATTAAATGAAATTTTCTGAAATGTTATTTCGGTGATTTTATGAATAAACAAAGTGTCCAAGAATAGTTAACTGTTAAATATCACCACTCAGATGTCTTGCCAGTACCAACTCAATTTGAGCAATATTCATCATAAATAAAGAATGACAATGAACTACCTCTGTTCCCATTCTTTTCTTAGTTTAATATCTAAAAATCCTTTTTCTCATGCAGGAAACTCTTGAAATAATCTTAAATCCTCACTTTTCCTTGCTCTAGTTATCTCCATAGCAAAGTAATGCCTAAGTCTTAAGAATTGAATGCTGTTAATTGTCCCGTATGCCCACCATCTTATTTCCTTTCCAATGGCCACCAACCCTCCAAGGAGAGCAGGAAGGGGCTGATTCAAAGACTCAGATTCTCCAAGCTTCATAGTCATTTCCCCACTTCCTATATGTGTTATATAACTTCTATATGTCTATTTCCTCATCTTAAAAGAGGATATTCCACCTCAAGCTCCAATTCTTTCTTAACTGGGGTATAATTAACATATACATATTAATTTCATGTGCACAAAATAATGATTTGATATTTGCATACATTTGACATAATCACCACAATTAGCATAGCTACCATAACATTCATCGCCAAATATTGTTACAAAACTATTTTTCTTTTTCTCCCTTCCTTAGGTTGAGGACTTCCAGAATGTAGTCTCCTAACATCTTTCAGTATATGTATTTATATCTATGTCTATATCCATATCTACATATATGTATCTACCTATATCTATCTATGCATCTATCTATCTAATGGCTTAAAAATGACAATATATCTTGGACTAGAGTGTCAAGACCAATTTTGTGCACTTGGATGTAGAGTGTGAGATGTATGCTCTGGGTCCTCATGTTCAACCATTCAGTGGTTACCTGTTTCTGCCTGTCCTCCAAGCATTCTAAAAATTGTCCAAAGCATGGAAACTCCCATACTTCACTAAACCTATTCCTTTTGACACATTCTCTGTTTTTCAGCATGGATCAATTATCCAGTTGCCAGAAAATTGGGTTGCAATTCTCACATCTCATTCCTTGATACTCATTAGTCCAAGAAGTCATTCAATAAATCAAAATCTTCACATAGGTTCTGAGCACACAAAAAACTAAAAATATTGACAGATAGTAGCCCAAACATGATCTTTATGACTATTAACTTGCTGATATAGTTTGAGTGAAACCCAGTGCACATGTTTATTAAACCCAGAAATAGGTAGACTTATCTACTCAGTCTTAGAAAGCATTGGAGCTAGGTCGGTCCCTGCAGGCTGGAAGGCTTGCTGCATAAGACTTAGAGCCGCATTCATTGTCCAATGTTGTGTCACTAGCTATGTGCAGTTAGAGAATACTTAAAATGTGCGGAATCCAAATTGATATGTGCAACAACTGTAAAATACAAACCAAATTACAACCAGAACTAAAAAAATGTGAGTTTTTCCATTAATTGTTTTCATATTTATTATATATTTAAATATCCATATTTTGAATACAGGGTATTAAATAAGCTACATTATTCTGTTTGCTTTTGTATTCCTTTCTAGCTGCTTTGCTTAATATTCTTTAGTGCACCTTCATATGATGTTTATGATTAAGTATAAATTTCATAGCAAGGACTATTAAAATCTTCATGATATAATCAACTCCTTTTGCTACATCTTCATATTTTCTATTCCAGCAGCAAGAATACCTTTAAGATTAAAATCCAGGCAAAATTTCTTTTGAATCTGGGTCCTTGTACATTTGCTCATTTTTCCCCCCTGGAACAGCTTTATCCAACTCTAGGTCTGACTATAGCCCTTGATCTTCATGAGTTTTTAATCTAAATGTGCCATGCATGAAACTTTTAGAATCTTAGGATTCTACATCCTTCCTAGGTCCTCTTGTAGCACCATATAATTAGCATTAAACAACTTAATCACACAGTATTTGTGTCCTCTACTGTTTGCTCTATCCACTTAACTTTAAGTTCTTGGAGGTTACCTTTATGGTCTTATTTATTCTCTTTACCTCCCACCTTTCCAGTGCCTAATGCCTTACCTTACATAATAGATGTTTAAAATGTATGTGAAATGCAGAAAGGAATACATGAACCAATCAAATATCTCTTTCACATGTTGTGAAAACAAAATACCTTTATGTAGATGAAAAAGCATTTTGTAAACTCTAACTTGCGGTTTTACTATGGCTGCAAATGCTTTCCTTCATCCTCTGCACTGAGCATTTCTCCTAGCATTTATGTATACTTAGAGTGTTTGAATAAATAGCTGAGTGACCAAAATAGTCAGCGCTATAGTTTTAAAAAAATAACATAAAGTTATCAGAGCATAAAAATATGTTATTGCAATATTGTTCTTTTTGAGCTCAATTTGTTTCAAGTTGCTTTGCAACTTGCATTTCTTTACTCAGCCAAGAATTTGCACTCTGAAAGTTTCACAATGGCTATTCCTTTCTCCTTGTCTTTTGCTTCCCATCCATTAAGACAGCACACATCATTTCTACACTACCAAAGCCAAATCTTAAGCTATTTTCATTATACATTCATTCCAGTGGAAATGACTTCATTTACCAGTGTCAGAGGCCAGTGTAGCCAAATCAGCTACAGCTGCATTGTTTTATATACGTAAGGTAATGTTATCTCCACTGTAGTTAACAAATGTGATTTCCTCTGAGTTCAAACACTTGGAGCTAAACTGTGATTTGATGTCTAATGGTCAACTCATGTTCTGGGGATTAAGTTAATTAAAACAGTTGCCCTGCTCTATTAAAGCTCCCTGTAGACCAATTATTAGAGTGCCAAGCACCATTACAGACCTACAGCAATTGAAAGCCACAAAGGGAGCTGCTTATATTATGGGGACTCCAGAACTCAGTAGATTATCGCCCATGGAAAAAGAACACGCACACTGAGAGGTAGATTACCTTCTCCACAGCCACCGAGCCATTATGAACTGTACAAAGGAAAAGCCAAGTGCACAAGTATTTGAATTCATCATCTTTAAAATCCGCAATTTCTAGAGCTAGTCAAATATCAGAAAAACAGCTTGGTAAAGTGCAAAGAGCTCCGACTACAGAATCAGAAGCATAACTTTGAAGCCGGCATCTCCCACTGTCTGGATAAACTCAGAAAAGTCCTTTCCCTTTAGGCATCAAATGCCTCATTTCCAAACTGTAGTGCATACATGTGACCACTTTGATTTTGATTTTGACATATTATGAGTTAACCGAGGCTTTTACCAAACAAAACATCTGGATAAAAAGGCACGGGGTGGCATGAGTGGTGAAAGCAATGTCTAAGGCATGAGACCTTCTTCTCTTCAGAAATCTACAAAGAACTTGTCTGCACAGAATATGCTTTTAAACGCCTTTGTATTCTTTACTGGTGCCAGAAGGAGATGCTTGATTTTGCTTTTCTTGGAGAATCCCACAGAAGTAATAAGCAAACAAATTTTTATATGTTTTATATTTTTTTCTTAACATGTTTTCTTACCACAATAAATCAATAGTAGTCACAAGCTATCTAATAATAGAGAAATATGCAAATTGTCCAGGATGCCATCACAGTAACAGTAACGACTATCAGGCTGCCTGGGGAGACAAGGCCAGCAGAGTGGTTAGTGAGGGACTACCAAATGAGTGAAGAGCAGGCTGCATGGGGCAACCAGGCCAGTGGGGCGGGGGACAGTTGGGGGTGACCAGGCTGGCGGGGGGACAGGGGCAGTAAGGGGCAATCAGACAGTCAGGCAGGTGAGCAGTTAGGAGCCAGTGATCCCAGACTGAGAGGGATCAGACTAAATCTGTAGTCAGTCATCCCTTGAGGGGTCCCAGGTTTGAGAGGGTGCAGGTTGGAGTGAGGGGACACCCTCGGTGCACAAATTTTATTCACCAGGCCTCTAGTAATACATAAAAAGTGATGTTTATACTGAAATAATGAAAAGAGCATTGGTTTTGAAGATAGACTGACATAGATTTTAAGTGCAAATTTAATAGCTCATATGGATATAGGACAAATTGTTTTTCCCTCTTGGTATTTTGCCATATATGTATATATACACTGAGTGGCCAGATTATTATGACCACCTGACATTCGTAGGCAAATCAGCATTACACTGCATTGTATGGAATATGAAAGACGAAGGCCTGTTCAAACACCTTTGCTATCTGCAGTTACCAAGATAAAACGTCTCCAGTTCGCATATGAACACAAGGATTGGACAGTTGAGCATTGGAAAAAGTCATGTGGTCCGATGAATCATGTTTCCAGTTGGATGATGCAGATGGCAGAGTGAGAATTTCATGGAAACAGCAAGAAAGCATGCATACCACATGCATGAGTATAATCCTTCAAGCTGGTGGGGGCAATGTATGGGTTTGGGGCATGTTTTCCTGGAATGATTTGGGTCCTTTAATTCATGTGGAGCAATGTCTGAATAGTACAACACACCTAAATATCATTGCTGATCAAGTTCATCTTATCATGTTGATGCATATCCCAATGGAGATGTCTTCTTCCAACAAAACAATGTGCCATGCCACCGTGCTCAGATTGTGCAGGAGTGGTTTCAAGAACTTGCGGAGACTTTACCTTGCTTAAGCGGCCCCACAATCACCAGATCTCAATCCAATTGAGCATTTGTGGGACAAAGTTAAAAGAGCCATCAGGCAGCTGGTTCCACAACCATCAAATCTCACAGAACTGGACAGTGCTATTCATCAGGCATGGTGTCAGATTCCTCATATCAACTTTCAACATCTCGTGGAGTCAATGCCAATAAGAATAGCAGCAGTATTGAAGGCAAAAGATGGCCCAATGAAGTACTGATGAGGTGGTCATAATAATCTGGCCACTCAGTATAGGGATATGGCCAAATTTAGGTAGAACACACTCACACATCCATTATACAATGGGCACTTAAACTTATTTCCCTTCCACTCTTACAGAGAAAAAGTATAATATCCATTTTAGAGTATGTTTTAATATGATAGAACTTTATTTTATTTCTGACGGCTAAGTTGTGGTTCAAGGCATTTAATAGATGAACCATGTTGTGTTCTGATAATAAAAGCATTATCACAGATAAAGAAACACAAATTGAGGAGACCATTGGCATGAGAAAAACCATGGCAAGGAGCTGGGTAGGTCTGTAGATAATTATTCTCCCAAGAATATCTCAGAGTTATCACAGTCATCGGGTCTGTGGCTACTCACTTTATATGCAGCTGATTCTCAAGCTCGCAAGCCATTAAGACACTACGGGACTCCAATCTTTTCATTTTAGATATGTCAGCCCAGAAATATTTTTAAAAATCAGTCTTCTATATTAGCTTTCCATTATGTAAGTTTAATATCACCTGGTAATATTATTATTGCTAGTCTGCCTGCACATCAGTTTGGGAATCATTTTGTGTAGTCAATAAATCATTTTCTAAAATCCATTTTTTTCACTAGAGTTAGCAGCAATACCTATTAGGAAGCAGCAGTTCTCATTATTACTCCAAGAGGTGCTGGGGCATCAAAGTATATAAGCTCCGGCAGAGCTCATTCATCAAGGTAGGAAATCTGTTTCCAGAATTAAAACAGAAGCTGAGAAATACCAGACTGGTGTTTGAGTGAAATAAATAGAAATTAAAAAAAAATAGGAATGAGAGCTACAGAGAAAATATAGTTTATCTAAAGTTATATGTTTATCTAAACTTATAAACTTTATTTTATGACTTTATCCTTTAAAAGTATACAAAAGTGAATGGCTTACAGAGCTCTATATGTAGAAAAAGGCTACAATTGTGTAAAACATATTTTTAAACAAATTCTTCATTTAGTCTTAAGAGAAATCTTGATATTCAGAAATTACCTACAATAATATTATTGATTTATTGATGTTGGATATGCTATAAAATTTAGATAAGCTAATAAGACAAGCTAAACTGTATGTGAAACTTGCAGTTAGAGCGAGCCCCAGACCCATTCTGACTGGATCCTTTCAATCCAGGTGCACTGTTTGGCACATTTATTTTCTAAGAAGCATGGATTGCAAGGTCACACAAAAATTAGTACTCCTAACTTCCAGGTGGATATAGATCAGGGTGCTGGTTTCCAACAGTAACAAATGAGATGACTCTCAGAATTCACTTATTTATTCCTTGCTTTTATGTGAATAAAAAAAATCAGGGTAATTTCATAGTTTTCGTTATTTAAGATGTATCTAAGTATCCAAATTGATTAATGTGGGTCATGTTTTAAAGTATGCAAAAAATAAAGTGATCCAAAATGGCATCAGTCCCCTCAGTTGGGCAAACACAATGGTGTATAACTAATGTCACACAGCAACTTTGACAATAATAGCATTATTATTGCTCACTAATTAAATTTCAATCAACCATAGCCCATCACCTACCTCAGATGATCACAAATGAATAATTGTTGACTGTCCACTTATTATTGCCATGATAGTCATCAAACTTGTTGGTGTTGGCTGGATATTCTGGTAGGATAACTAACTTTACATGTCATCTGTATCTCCCCACCCTTGGCAGAAAATAAATAAATAAATAAATAAATAAATAAATAAATAAATAAATAAAATAGAATAGGACATAGCACACCAAATAACCTTGTTATTTTAAACTTTGGAGATAGACCTATATGATCATTTGGATTTGTTGGAGAAAAAGGAGGAAGGAAAAAAAAGAGAGAAAACCAAATTGATTTATTATCTATCTTAGACCTATTTCTTTCTTCCAAATTTGGTTGGAGCTCTTTTCAAGATGAATGGGAGTCCAGAGCTTCAGAGGTGGTCTTGGCTGTGAAAGATTGGATGGGATTCTGACAGCTGTGGAGAGCAGTAATTCCACAGGCAGTCTCTGGCCATGCCTGCTGGCAGTTTAACTCCTAAATGAGACCCCTGCAATGTCTAGCATGGCTGTCACAGAAAGATTCCTACTCATAAAAGATATGTTTTCTATGAAAGCCTCTCATCTTCAGTGCAACATCATAAATCAGAGTCAGCATCAGGAGCCGCCGAGTGGGATGATTTAAAGATCGGTGCTAAATCACCACCCAGAATTTTACATAAAGCACTTAGTAAATCACAAAAATACAACAGAGTTATTCCATGATAACACAGTAAATAACCAACAGTACCACTATAAATCAGCTTGTGGCATATCGATATTTTTTAGGCCTCCCGTTTCCAAGAGGAAAGATTCTCAATTTACCTAACATGTCTCCTGCTTGCTGACTGGCTAGCGACACCATTATCAGTTGGAGGGAAAATAAATCTAGGATAAAGAAGTGTGGAAGGGCCATTTCAATGTCTGGGAGCAATTACCACCAAAGCACACTATATTTTCTCATTGTCAAGTGAACTTGAGCTGGAACATCTTCAGTGCTGCTGCTTTATGATCATTTAAATATGTCTCTAACACACAAGACAGTGGCGGTATCTGGCAACTGGATTTTGATCACAACAGCAAAAATCTAGTTCGCAGCCCTGGGCCATTGCTCTCTGAAAAAACCATGAGAAGAATGATAGCAAGTCCAGGCATCTCAGGATAATCTGTCCACACAGCCTTATTTTCTGCATGTGTCTCTCGGTGACTTTATTCTCTCTCTACATATCTTAACTTTCCCAGATTGCTAGGCTTTTATTATATATATATATATATAAATAATTTTGCAGCTTTTAGAAACATATTTATTCTATTTAACTAATTTAAATTATAGAAAAATAAAGCATTTTCTTTGCTGAACATATATTTGGCTATGTAGCTAAATAATCAATCACCAACTTGGTGAAGAAAATGATAAATCATGAAAAGCTGAAGACTCTTCAGAGCTATAGCAACATGAAGAATTTCAAATTGCATGTATTATCCTATAGAATGGCTTATCATAGAGTTGTTGTAACCCTAACAAAAGTTCTGTGTCTACTTGATGCAAATAGGAAAGTATTTTTAAGTGCATAAAATATATGTGGAAATATATTATAGCTATATCTAAATATTATTTTCACAAAATATGTCATAATTTTATCACAGAAGCAGACTTTTCTAATTGTGAAATAACTTGAGTTAAAATTCTGAATATTCAACTTGTCCCCCTGTGGGAATGTAGGCAAGTTCTATTTTTGCTCAACTTCTCTTTCTCCCTTGTAAAATGTAGAAACTATTTTTCACATCATAGAGGGATTAGATGATAGATTGGTATCAATTCATAGATGCTTGCAAGCATTAAGGTAATAAATAATAAGTATCTTAACAAAAGCAGTAAGAGTGGGGATCGATTTGGTTCTTCTATTATTAGTTATCATCCTTGTCTATAAGGACTTGGATCGTGAGGGGTTACAACATGATCTTTGGTGTCTCAAATCACCAGACTAAACACAGTTACATTATTGTCCCATCTGAAAGAATTAGAGGTCCTATGCCCCCATCTACATTCAAAGGGGGAGAGAAAGCTCTAATAAAATAATTCACAAAGATGAGAGATGACCAAAAGGAATTGATACCAGCATCCTCTCCCTGGATAAATGTCTATTTATATAGCAGGTTTGCCCTTCAGTCCTAGTTGAGAATAGTAAACAGGGCATTGGTGTGAGGTAGTGGGGCAGAGAGAAGAATGCTGGCAGGAGCTAACATCCTCAAGATAGGCTGGTAAATGGGCATGCATTTTGCATTATTGAACTGAACAATGAAGAAGATAGAATGGATACAGATAGCTTGGTGTCTCACCATATGAAACCCAGCACTGACACCAGAATTTAGAATAGAGAGCCTATGGGGACTGTATTTAGAGCAGGTCAAGTCAGAGTAGATCTCCTGATCTCCTGAGATAACTAAAGAATGGACAACCCTGCTGGGGTCTGAATATCTGAAATGCTCCTCCTAGAAAGCCACTGTTGAGATGTTTGACACAAAAGGTCAATGATAGTCATTGGTGTCCTCCAGAAGGGAAGCAACAGCCAAAAAGGATGTTAGATAGGCATCCAGGCACATATAGGAAGGAACCTCTGCATTCTCTCCTATCCTTAGATGATTGATACAGCAAAGGGGAGAAGGAAGAATGAAACAGCAGATTCTACTACAACCAGAGAAACACACACACACACACACACACACACACACACACACACAATAGAGAGAGAATGAGAGAGAGAGAGAGAGAGAGAGAGAGAGAGAGAGAGAGAGAGAGAGAGAGAGAGAG